CTATCAGCACACCATGAAAAACTATAATGAGCTATTTCAGGATTTTATATGCTATAATTTGTATCTCTCAATTATCTAAAATAAAGAGTTATTATCTAAAATATGTTGTTTAAAACTTCTGCCTGAATGACTGACCAAGTTTTATGGTTTTATGGAATTTAATAAATATAACTAGGCATTTTACTTTCATATGTTTAAGGCCAACGAAGATACATTGGCTTATATGTTTGGAATGCATTCCCATCCTCGAAATCTTACATAATATTTCAGGTTATAAAATTAGACTATTATAGCATCAAGAAAGGTGTACATTAATGGGCACAATAATCTGCCTTTGTTTGAAAACAGATAAACAATGTTGATGCAACGTGAAAAATTTCCAGTTATTATTGAAGTTATATATAATGTCTGGAACTTGCATATCTCAATTACCTAACTAAATAAAGAACTATCATTCCTTTCAAAATCCTCCTTAAACGAATGACCCAATATAGGTGAAATTTTTTCCAATTTTAATGGTTGATAGGATTTTATGAATGGAAACAATCTGCTACTATGACCTACAGAAATATGTTGGCTTTTATATCTGAAATGCTCTCTTTTTTGAAATCTAATATGGCATTGTTAAACTGATATTACACACACACAACACACATATATATAAGATTGTTTTTATAATATTACACCAAAAATTTCTTCTTTCATCCATTAGGCATTTTACAGTGAACTGCATTTTTTATATGGTTAACTATCCAAAATTTTCCCGAGTGAGTAATGCATGCACTTACTGCCTCGGACGTAGTAGATATTTCCCAACCTTCCTCTCTAGAATCAAACACTGATTCTCCATCACCTGTTACAACCATTGTAGGAGCATGACGTATCATCGATAAGTGATAAGTTGAGACACTTAAAAAAGTACATTGCTGGGAAGAGTCCTTGTAATCAGCTCAAAGTTATACAAAATCACCACATAATACAGATATGAATTTACACTAGTTTTAGTATAAAATCTCCTGAGAGTCGTAGCTCTGCTGCATGTATTAGCTCTAGAATTACCAGAGTTATGCAAGTAAAATATGAATCCAAGGAACCATAACTAATTTAGTACGCCCTTCACAGTTTTGCCTTCATATGGCTTGTACTTAAGATGTGCATGGCTAACATTTTGGAAGGGGATGGCAGGATCTAACAGATAGATTTTTTACGTTCATAGAATGTTCAAGCTCAAAGCCTTGGTGATAATAACCTTAACTCTTAGTGATAGGGCATACCTTGGAAATATGATGGGAGCCCTGTCACTTTCTAAATAACTGAGTTTTTACAGTAATAATAAAAGGTAAAATTAAAATCCTTTCAAAGAGGAGTAGTAAGATACTATTCAAATCACTACAGAAAGAGAAAGATCACTGCAATTGTGACCAATCTCACTTTGTCCAGGTTATTACACATTTACAAGCATCAACGCCTTTTCCTTCATTTGAACTAACCAATTGTATCACAACACGTTGACAAAACCTTGCACAACCTCTTATTTAAAATTCTTATGTAACACATACAGAAGTATATTGAGGATAAAAATAAAATTTGCATTTAATATTAAATCATATTTAGGACTGTAAAAACAAATAATTATAACTTAATCATTTAACTCAAACAAACTAACAAGAGAACCAGTTGTTCAGATTAGCATTTAAAGAAATTATTACACATTAAACCAACAAGAATTTAAAAACGAATGCCCAGGCTGTTCCTCTTAAACATGGTCTTGTGTCCCCCCCCAAAAGAAACACGGAGGTAAGAATGGGAGGAGGGGCCATTCCGCGCTAGAAGTGAAGCACTGCTTTGAAGCTTGGGTCACCAGACGGGGTGTTCTTTGTTTACATTCAGAAGCTCGCTTGACAAGATTCTGATAGTATTTCGACACACGACAGTTCCATAGAAATCGAAAAAGGGACACTCTCGCATGAAAGAAACATTCATAGTGTGATGGATAATAGCAATTCGTATAGTTTACTGACATTTACGCAAAAATCACATCTTGGTTATTTTTCGATAACTAACAACAGCGATTTTGATTATGAATTTGTTTTATAAATTCTAAGCAGTTGCACTACAAAAATATAGATTTTAAGAAAATTGCTAAAAGAGATCTGCCAAAAGTTTATTTTCTAGAAGATTTGAAAAGTTTGAAACTTGATGGCTAAATGTAAATATAAAATTATGTATGTTAAAATATTTGTAATTAGGCACATAGGTCAGATTAAGTTTTTATTAATAGAGTAACGCATGCAAGGGCTATCTGCCTAAGAGAGGAGATGCCATCGTGGAGGATTTTGAAGAAAAAACTGACCTTTGAGTGGGTATTAAAAAATAATACTTATAATTTTCATTCAAATTATATTCATATATATTTTTATGTAAAACTTTCGGGTGTATGCTAAATTAGTGTAAATTACTTTACACGAAAAATATAGTGAATGCACAGAAATTAAAGATTTGCACATGCCGGAAATGATAAATAGGAAATATGTATGGGTATTTATGCATGTGCTTGCAAAAAGCATGTATCTGCCTTTGACAAAATATTTATAAAGAATTATTCCCTTTACATTTTATAATAACTCAGTTACAAGTTTTAAATAATACTTAAAAAAAAAAAAAACTTATTTTATTCCCTTTCAGAAATGTTCAGAGAAAGTCCTAATAATTCTCTAATTTAAAATGAACCGAATAGAGCATTAATTATAAATTGACTTACATTTTCGATTTAAAAAAGAAGCCAAAAAATCATGTCATATTTAAGAAAGTATTTTAGGAAAAAAGCTCTATAAGTAGAAAAGAAATAATGCATAATTTTAATATTAATAATACAATAAACTTTGATCTTAATTTTGTACCTTAACCGAATAAAATCGAATTACCTTAATTTTTTTTTCTAATGTAATTAACGAAAACTTGTGAAAATATTTCATTCAAATTAAAACCATTCTGAGGAAAACTGTCCTGTGAAAGTATAGCATTTAATTCCGTTCAGAATGAAATGTTTTTAAAATATGTTGTTTTCACATACTTAGGACTCTGAAGTGTTGTAGAAAAAGAAATATATATACATTTATATGTATATTTGTGACGTAATTACAAAATATTTACACCCGAACGCGTCAAATCCCATAGAACTCAATGGTAAATGACCCAATGTTTTGGTCACCATGTAGGGATCACCGGTGCTTCAGAGCAGGGTACGGAGAAACTTGTTTAGGGCGACTCCTTCTTACTTCCATGAAAAGAAAGCAAGGTCTTATTCCACACAATTGTTTAGATAGCATGCCTACTTTGAGCACTCTTAAATTTTTTCACAGTTAACTTCTTGTTAGTTATCAGTCATGCAAGAGAATCAAAGATCATCAGAGGAAACCAGCTGTCTGTACAGAACATGCAGTAACCACTGCACATCTAGAAATGAAATCACACTATAAGCTTATCAACTGCAACATAATGGCAACAATGCATATGTAATTAAAAGCTTTTACCTTAATTTCAAGTGAAATTATGACCAGGTTATTTCTAAACTAAACTAAAAAAAACTCAAGTGGTGCACAGCCCTATCGGGTCAAGGCCACCAGTGCCCCAAAATCTGCTTTCTTGACAGTGTGCCCCTGGATGAGTAAGTAAATGCCCTGAACAAGTGGTTAGCTTGTCACAGGACCTCCAGTGTTTAGTCCCCAAGCGAATTTGAAACTCATTTTATCAATATCATTATTTATTTACTCATTAAAACTCTCTTCCTTATATTTACTTTAAACTTAACTGGCAAATAAGATAACCATACCTCATGAACTAACTTGCATGATTATTTTATTTGCAATAAACACCCTTGTATCTGATGGCGGGGAGATCCTAATCATATGAGGTTTTTTTCAATTTTCTCCTCCTGATCAAATGTATAATACATAGCTTGATATTTCGTTTCCACTCTTCTACTTAACAGATTTTGAGCCACTATTACATTACGCCTTTTATACTGTAGCAAGAAAGACAAGAAGGATAATTATTGTCATTGAAATACTAAGGACAAAGAAATTTAGCAAACACCTCAAAATAAAAAATAAAAAAAATGTATATTCAATCATAAAAAATGAATAGAATAATCCACAATATGAATCATGTTAACACAAATAAGCAATATATTACTGAACTTACGGAATGTGAAATTTAACTCCAATTGTGATCCTTTAAAAAAGTTTAAAGAAATCAAACATCAGTTTTAAATTCCTCACCCACTAAGAATCAGAAAAACAATCCTCTTTTCAAATCAGGTAAATAAGCCTCAGCATATTCTTTTCATTAAAAAAAAAGCAAGGAATCATTATTAAACTATTTTACTCATGCTATAAATTTAATATCTAATTATGTAAGTTGTAGTTAAGTAATGGCCCACCTATTTGTACAAAAGCTATGGTTTATTTGATTACGGCAGAATATAGGAAGGCTATCTACCAAAGAGAAAAGGTGTCTTCATGTTGAACTTTCTAAGGTAAACCGGCTTATATCACATTACGTAAGGGGAAGGAAAAAAAAAAAAAAAAAAAAAAAAACACGCCCATACTGCCAACTCTTTCGTTTGGAACAGGGTTTAAGTCAAATTACCAGTGTTCACGGATTTCATCACTCAGTCACTGGTTAGGCCTACTAATTACCCACTTCCAAATGTGTGTTAAAAATTTCTACTTGAATACCCTTCAAAAAAAGGCAAAAATATTTATTTCCCTTTCCTTCTCTCTACATATAGAGGGAGACTAAGACATTGACAAGTTAATAAACAGAAGACTAATCAGATGAGCTGATATTTATATCCTGACTCGGAACTCAAGCGCAACAATGAATTAATATGCAATAAATAACATAATGAAAGTTTTCACTACAAATGTACAAACTGTCATTTATAAGGGGGGAAAAAAAATCCAGGAAAACGAAACTTGAACAGACCGGCTACTAACCATTCACATTAACACTTGAAGGAGGATGTACATTCAGAGGAGCAACACGTCCAATTGGTTTGTTGTAATTCGTCTGGTTTGCCAAGGATGTAACAGGACTACTGTTTTGTGGCCGACTGAAAGTTGTAATGAACGGGGGAGCAACAGCTGGACTTCCTACCTTCTGCACCTGAGGTAAAACTATAAAAATACATTAATATTAGATGTCAGAAGAGTATAATTTGTGAGGAGTGTTAAAAAAAGTCAATTTAAAGAAATAAAGGGCTTTATTTCTTTAATCCTAATCTTAGACATGCACTTTCAATTACAAAGTTTCTGAAAACAAGGTAAAATATCTCTAAACTTTTTCAGGTTTGGGCCCCATATACATAAAATCTAACGTTTTATATAATCTTATAGATTAAAAAGACCAATTATAAAAAAAGCCCACTGTGCCTTGATGGTAATCATAAAGAATAAAAATTTCATACACGACTGTAAAATTCAAGGGATATATTAAAAGTATTTTCATCTGTGATTTCGAACAAATTTTGCAATACTGAGGAAGAAACTAGGAAACAAAATTCTGTTTGAACAATTAATGCTTTAAAATTCCATATAACAACATTTGTTATTATTTTCCTAATTGGTCACATTGAATTGTTAATCATTAATACCAATAAAATTTTGCATCCAAAGTATGACATATCATATACCTATCTACATAGGCATAAAGAATTATACACTAATTGGACATGCTTATTTACAAAATGTTTAAGCCAAACAAAATTTAATACCTAATCTACGTGTTCAAACTGTTCCTACATAAATATCCATTTTACTTTTAGAAACTCTGTTAATGGAAGTTCATAAAATTCCTTTCAATAAACATCTAATTAGCCTGCAAAACCAAAAGAATGGCATGTTCAAAGATTCAAAACTTTGTTAACTATTTAAATGAAGTTATATGAAAGGAGGTAAGAATGAAACAGACTTGTATTTTGGCACCATTTGTAAGACCACCGTCTCATATGGGACAAGCAATCCCTGAAAGTATAATTCAGAAAACTAAAGGGTTAACAAATGTTGTGCCAAGGAACTGCAATCATACACGGACATTCCTAGTAAACAAGATCTTATAATGGGTACCATTAATGAAATATAAGCTGTTTTCATTTTTAGGTTAGAACCTATAATACTGCTGGACAAATTCAACAAAGTGGTCATGGAGAGGAGAGAAGCATACAGACAGAAGCAACTTTGTATCACGAATCAAAGTGGTTAACTCTGGAGATTTAATTACAGATATGTGATGTATAAATTTACAGAAAATTTGAAAACTGCACTGATAAATGTGATCATTAAAATCTTGAATTATGCAAGCAATTTCTCCTCAAATATCCACACATAGCTTGCATTTCTGGATCGATTCTGCAATAAAAAGTACAGGAACCATAAAATGAAGATTCAAGGCAAGTGTGGAATTATACAGAGGCTTGAACATTCAAAGATGACAATAAGCTCAATTAACAGAACAAGAACAACAAAAAATATCAATGCTAGACTGCTACAGAAAAGACTTCCTTCTTTCATCACATATCTGTAATAGCTAAAATTTACTCTATGCAAAACCAACTGATTTTTAAACCACCAGCAACAGCCCCACGAACAGGTTTTTAAGTAAAACAAAGACATTGAAACCATTATGGTATGTTCAAAGTAGAATTTATAAGCAAGTTCTGCAATTTACTGTATTTTAAAAAAATTAAAAAAATTTGGTCTATCCATTAGCAGGGGGGGGGGAGAAGAAGTGAGAGGTTAAACACTTTCAAAGACAGATTTCATAGTGCGTTTGCATCTAATATAAAGCAGTATTTAAAGAAAAGTTTACCCGAGTGAAAATGCGATACCATCATTGGACAACTGCTACAGCTGTTTTCTAGTTCAAGATTTAGGTGTGGAAAATCTTTGTTTATGTTTCTGCAGTGCAACATAACAGACCTTACAATGCAGCAAAGACTAATTCACAGCAAGATCAGTAGACAAACAGAGGTTAGGCTCTTCCCAACACTGACATCACAAATGGGAGAAACAATGATACATAGAAAATAGCTGCTTTTAAGCAGATAAGGAGTCAAGTCACACAAGAGGACATCTTGTAGCATAATAACCTTGATGCAGAATTTCACCTTTTCATGCACCACTGTGTGAAATCTGAAAGTGGCTTCCAAGATTTATGAAAATAGTTAAGTTCACTTTGAAAAATGTTGTCTTGTAGCTCGACAGATGTAAAGAACATTCATTAACTTTAATGATCATGCTTGAAGATAACATTCTTTTTTTTTTTTTTTTTGCTTAAAATTTTAAAAATCCTACACACAACATCTTGAATTTAACAACACATTTGAAAGGTATTTAAGGAAAAGAATACGGAAGTTTGAAAGGATATAGACCATTTTGCTCCCATTTCTTTTTCGCTTCGTGACAATAATGAAGAAACACTCATCAATAATGCATTAACAGGGTTCGTACACATTTCCACACACGGAAATTAAGTACTTTTAAGGACCATTAATGAAAAAATTAGTCCTGAGCAATGGGAACTGAATATATTCATTAAAAATATTATCTATCCTGATTTCACTTTGTATACCATCCTAAAAAAAATATCTCTAAGTGTATGCCTTATTACTAACATGATTCTAATAGAATTTATATGAGAATAAAATACTTCATGCAGTATCAAGTACATAAATATTTTACACTTTACATTTGACATATTTATAAGTTGTTTTATATATAAGTCTCAGTAGATGCAAAGAATAAGTTTTACTTGAAATTTTACATTTTTGTGTTTTATCTTGTGACCACAGTGAGTATAAATGAAAGGCAATAACTCGTTTTAATATGTAGAGATAATTTTAAGGGTAAGTAGTTAGTTATAAATAATTAAATTAGGTAATTAGATAACTGTAGTCATTATGGATTTACATGGCCACTATTAAATTTTATTTTTAACAATATCTGTTAAAAAAAAGCCCTATTAAAATCAAAATCTTAATAAAATTTCGCAGTTTAAAATACATGTAATTTAAGACACTGATTCTTAAATTATATTTGGATATACATACAACAACACTCAACAAAATATTTATCCCGTCATTTTAATTTGAAGCCTATACGGTATTTCTCCCACCTTCTTCGCGGGCCTTCGTGAAGTGGTCCAGTATTCCAGAGGTCCGCTGTTCAATTCCCAGCGAAGGCGTTAATTTTTATCTTTCCTACTTTCCTTTTAAACAAGAACAGTCAAATTTAAACTAAAACCGTGGACTAGTCGTCAAAGATTATACAATTTAATTTTAATTTAATATGGCTCAGTAACTCTATCATATGAGGAAACAGATGGGAAGTTATGTAAGGCTGAAATCATAAACATTGGTAATTTACATAATAAACTGCACATATCTTTGAGAATATTTTCATTATGTACAGTCAAAGTCGTTAATATCCTACTCGTCGGACTTTCGCGATTCCGGTTATCGATTTTTCCGATTATAGATCAGCATTTTAATCTCATATGGCTGCAAAATTCAAATTAAAATATGAACGTATTTATGAATCCGAACATTATATATAAATGATATCCAACTTACCAAAAAAAAAAAAAAAAAAAGGGGGGGCGCTTAATATATTTTTGTTTACTTTATAACCTTTCTCTCAATGTAAGTTTTTAAGTTGCTTCATTTATGTGATAATACTTTCTCCTTATTCTACAAAGACAAATTTCTTGTCAGTTACAAAGTTCCGCTATCAGTCCGTATTGCTGTGCGAATACCGACTAAGTGTCAATCAAATTTTTTCATTTCACTACCTCCTGTCACATCTTCATTCCTTTATCCATTTTTGAGCAATTCCACGTTTGTTTGTTGGACTCGAACATACTTCGTTTGTCGATCTTGAAGTCCCAGCATCGGAATTCTATTTGACATAATCGAAAGTTCAAGTTTACGTTTGTAAAATTGCTCTTACAGTCTGCAAAAATAATAACCTGATCCAATTCCAAGATTAAGGAACAACGCAATCTGCACTTAACTGAATAATATAGAGCTTACACTGTCCGTTAAACATAAAACGCGCCGGAAACGTATTCTGCACTTGCGCACACGCATGCGCTTAGTCAAGGGTCTTACGCGCACCCGTAAATGCTGGCGCATGTTCCATGCGCGCTGCGCAGAAAGTTTTTGCTTTGAGGTCCGGATTATAGTCATTCAGTATGGCTGTCGATTCACGCTTTGACGTTCGGTTTCTTTCTTCAATTTTTCCTTTTAATTTAAGAATTTCTGGATTTATTAAGGATTTCTGTATTCAAAAAACTAAATGCATTTAGAATGTGTAGGAAAAACTGCTAATTTCATTTCTTCAGAAATATGAAATATATATTGTAAGGGTCGGTTAAAGAGGCGGTGTGGCAGAATTTTAGAAATTAGTGACACACCGAGCAACAAAATCTAGAAATGGCAAAACTTTTAGAATTAAGGGCAGGCACTGGAAGCAAAATTTAGACAGGCACTAGGCAGCAGAATTTATTATCCAGAGATTGCATCATGTGGGAAAATGCCTAGCACCAGCTCTGTGTATGATGCATTAAGACATATTATATGAATCTTTTAAATTTAAGTTTCAATTTCTTCATTAATAAAAAAATTCCTTTCTATAACATCTGCCCATGTGATAAGATTAGATTGATATTTTCCATGCTTGTGTCTAATGAAAAGTAGAGAAAATAAAGGAATGATAAACATGTTAAGAAAAATATTCCAGTATCAGAAGTAAAACATTCAAATATTATATTTTCATTGTTCTTTCCGACGTTCTCCAAAAAGTAAGAAATTCACTGCAAACTTTCTGTAAAATACGTACATTCATTACGTGTTAATACCATGGAGACATTTTTCATTTTGTCACATACTTCTGGAATCTTCTAGAGTCGTGGGTCTATAAATCTTGCCTTCAAATCCTTCTAAATTTTCCAAGCTGTGAATGTCTAAAACCCTAAAGAAAAATTATCCCTACCTATTCTGTAACAGCAAAAAGCCAGAAATATTTTGGAAAAAAGAGGGAAACGGTGTAAAATGAACTTTATAGAGAAAACTGATGCATATTCTGAGAATTCTGAATACTGTGAGACAATTACATGAGAAAAATTCTAACTATGAAAAAATTAAAAAGGTCATTTTAATTAATTACATAGTTAATTTTGTTTTTACTAAGAACTGTTTCATAATACCTTGTTTATTTTTCAGATTCAAAATATTGTATAATAAGTGCCAAAATGAAACTTTATAATGAAGCAAAAAAAAAATGTTTATTTTAAGTTATTTTTAAATATAATTCATATATTACCTTATTTTAATGAAATTTCTGATGATGTTCAAAATTTTATTCATGTCATAGACTTTGAACAATGTTATTGCTTAAAACTGCGAAATTCCAAATTTGACATGTCAATTTAGACTTTTAATAAAAAGATCACTCCCCAAAAGCAAATTGTTTAAGAGCTCTTTATTAGAAAAAAATGAATTTTAAATGCTTATGTTTCACTTCTTGCTAACTCGAGTATTATCATCAGAAATAGAAAAATTATAACCCTACCCATTCAAATCGCCTATTCGTCTGTGAATCCCAAATATTCCCTAAAGCTAATTCCACTCAATGGCATCAAAAAGAGAGAAAGTTCAGATGATTAAGTTAAGGCTTCTACTGATTTTGGCCAAAATTAAGGACTTTTAAGGACCAAAACTCGATTTAAAAAAAATTTAAGGACTTTTAAGGACTCTTAAGGACCGTACGAACCCTGATTAATTAGAAAAGGGAGAAATCTTATATAGGACAATGACATATAGCTGCACAGAATGAAGGTGATGGACTCTAGACTTTCATAAAATTAAAAAAAAAATATTTATCTACATTAGCATGAATGTTATGAAACTTCATATTTATTAACTTAACACATTATCAAAGCTCTGACAACAAGCATATACAGCAGGAAGATACTAAGAGCCATATAATATCATTATATTAAGAAATTCACAATAACTTTCAAGTGATATATAATATTTATATGTAGCTTTAGTTTTATTTTGTGAAATAAAAAAAAATATGCACGCATGTTTCAAATTGAAAACAAAAATTAACGTATATAATTTTATTAATATTATTTATGATGCAATTAATTTTATTAATGTAATTTATCAAAATCAATGATTACTTTCAAGTGTTTAACCCCTTCCTTTTTTTATGTAAGATAAAAACAACTTACCGGTTGCAGTAGCTACATTAGTGCCGATAACAATGGACTGAGCACTAGCAGCTGTACTTGGAACACCAGGCTGAGCACTAACTGTTGTTACAGCTGAAGTGACTTGCTGTTCAGCAACAGAATTTGCAACAGATGTTATGACAAAATGTGCACCAGCAGCTGTCTGAACCATACGACTAATACCACCAATTAAAGACTGAATGCACTGGACACGGTTACTAGTAGGCGGCCCTGGTTGCAACTGTAATGTAAGCCCCCCAATAGGAGCAAGAGATGCAACAGCTAAAATGGAGGGGGAAAACAAATTTCTATAGGCCATTTGGAAACACATATTCTAACAGAGGAAAAAAGAATACATTACAATTATATGTAAGCTTGTGAGCTCAAGTAAGAAGTAAAAAAAAAAAAAAAGGCTACATAATGAAACATCTGCAATTATTTTTTTTTTTTCCAGGGAATAATATTAAAACTTCAATGCTAAAAATTATATAAAAGCTAAAAATTGAGAATCTAAAAGTAAAGCAAAACCAACCAAATAATTCAGTTTCCCCCCATTCTGTAATGTGCAATCTTGGCACACAATAAAACTATTATTAGATTCATATTTTCAGAATAACTAATTTAATTATATTGCATATTTGTTTTTATATATTGGAAAAACTACTTTTTATAATTGTATTTTCTTGTGAAATAAAATACAAGTTAAAAATATAATATCAAAAACCATTGGTTCTCAAACTATGTATTGCTAACAGAGTACTAGATTCCCAAGATGTATATAAAAAGGCCCCAAAAGAAAAGTGGTGAGAAATGTTTTATACATGAAATTATGTAAATAAATAAAAAATCCGAGACTCCACCTAAAGATATTCATGGATTTCCTAGTTAATTCACTATCATAATCTCTTGATTTTAACTCTGAGATTTTCTCTTCAAAGATAAAAATAGTAAGGATGAGAATTCAATTTTTTAAACCAATCACTTTATTTCACAGTATATAAGAGCTAGGAGTAGTAACACAGTATATCAGCACAAAAGTAGGTAAATTGAGATTTCAACTTTGAACAGAATTAACTTGATAAATTAGTGATTTATGTTTCCATCACCATATATTGTATATAAAGCTTTTTCCCCCTTCTGGTGAAGATAATGACTGACAAAAAGTTCTCGATTCCACGAAAGCTGCATATTTTTCACTTAGTCACAGCAGAAATATCATATGTTAAAAAGTACTTCTGAAATGTGATTATTAATCTTTAGAATTTCTTAGTGCAGAAACGAGTGAGAACGTGTGTTTATACATCATGAAATTTTTCTGTATCAAATCAGACAACCTGTAACGTAATTTGGTCATAATTCTCCAAGGAAAGGAAGCTGATATAAAATCAGGTAAATCCAGAATAAGAAAGGCTGAAAAGTTTCATATATAGGTGGCAAGTTATATTCACTATAGCTGTGATTCATTCACAAAGATGTGAAGTTAATGTTCAACTAAGCAATTTAGTTGAACATTATTTCTTTGTAAAATAACACCATTTCTTATATGGCAGGTACAACTTACAGAATGTAACTTATATCAACAACATGAATAAAATATTTTGCGGTATAAAAGTATAACAGACAGTTAAGAACATGATGCAGTAGTTCATATTTGTTAGATATGTAAATATTCTCTTTTGAAATAAAAAACACATTTTCCTTCAAGAAGCTTCCTATTCAACAACAGATGTAAAATGGCTGCACAATTAGGGAATAAAATACCTATACTGTAGTTTGCACTAGTAATGGAAAAGGTATGATTGGCAAGCACAGTGATTTCTAGATTAAGGCAAGTGCTCCACAAGTAAAACCCTTTATCTTCACAGAGAAGCTTTAGTGATCAGCAAACTGGAAACCACAATCACTAGAAATTTATGTCACTACATGCTTAATCAAAAAAGGAACAAAAATGTCTATTGAATTTTTTGTTTATAAGAGTGCAATTGTAATTATCCTACGAGCGCTCATTTGAGTTACAAGAGCGTGCGCACTGGGGTCCAAAAGACACAATTATTGTTTTTTGAAGAAAATGTGAATATTCAGAAAAAATGTGACATTTATGTCAATAATAAATTTCATGATACAATTTTAAAAATTTTAATTTCTCCAAATGCTTTTATGAAACAAAATTTCTCAAAGGTATAGAAAATCTAATTCACAGGGGAAAAGTAGTACTGCATCGATACACTTTACTTCGAGTCGATTCTTATTTTCTTTATTAGCACTATAGACACAGATAAAAATGCAACAACAAATGTGATCAGCACATTGAAGAAAGAGTTTTCGTGTGTTCCAAACACAAATATTTTTCACATTCGGAAAAACGCGCTTTTTTTTTTTGTACTTTTTTTGCTGAACAAATAATGCATTTTTTTCCCTTTCCGATAATTTTTCCCCTCCAAAAAATTATGTCTTTCTCACTCTCGTTTTCAGAATCTATATCATCACTGAATCACAATCATGCAAATTAAATTCATGATCACTTCCATCCTCATTTTCTTCAATACACTCTTCGCCAATTGATACCTCTGATAACTTTTATTTAACAACCTTTCTTCATTGTATAGTAAACAGTGTGACATTTTTGCCACTTTCTATACTATCACTAATCAACTATGAAATAGTAACACGAATAGGTGCTCTGGGTCTAAAAGACACCATTGCATCAAAATCAGGACTCCAAATAAAGTCCCAACAAAAAAAATTCGGAAATATAAACACATGACTACACCAGACCTCAACAACTTGCATGAGAGGTTTGAGAAAGGTTTGTTTAATCGCATGGGCCCTTTGGACGCAGTGTGCGCGCTCGTGAGTTATAAAGTAAGCTACAAATTAGAAAGATAGATGTAAGTTGAAACCACTCAGCAATATATTAGACACTCAATGTCTCTATCTTTATTTTTTTTAAAAAAAGCAATACACTAAGGACTGCAGAGATCGTAAAACAATGGTCAAAGGAAATATTCCTAATGTACATTGAAATAAAATCCTTTACAACAAAAGCTTAATACTGAATACAGACAAAACCAAATCAATCTTTTACTATAAATTTAATTTTACTTTTGACCCTAACACATATATATTATATATTCAAATAATCTTTGATATATATAATAACTACACTTCAGAGATTTTTCTTAAAGAGTGGATTCTCTCAATTAACTATCTCTATGTATAAATAAACAGCTTACTGCATACATGATACAGACACATATATAAAACATACAGTGTAAAAGGAATTAATAAAAATTAAAAAAAAAAAAAAAAAAAAAGTGTTAGAGGACTTACCAGCACCAGGCTGTACTAACTGCAAAGTGTACTGCTGCTCTGTTTGACCAATAATTGGATGATTGCTAATGGCAGTAACAGGACTTACAGTTCGAGTAGCTGGAGCAGTCTGCTGGCCAGGAATAACCATGTATCTTTGAGGATATGATAAAGCAGGGCCAACAGGCGCAGATAATCGGTTAGGAGTTGATGTAGGCAAACGTGCTGTGGTTACTGGAGCTCTAGGTACGGAAGCCATAGGAGATGCACGACCAGATCCCTAACAGAATCAAAAATACATTATCAATTAAATACGTATCTTAGTAAAATTTTACTACTGTTTGCTTTTGCTTTATTAATCAATACAAGATTATCTCCTTATTCTAAATAAACCAGAAATTTGGAAAATAATCCTCACATATCAGCCCTTCTAACCTCCACAACAAAACAAATGTATAAATAAATTTTCATACATTACATTCTTAGTATCTACGTAAGAATTTCTTTAGATGCATAGTTTTATAAAGGAGGAATCTTATGAATAAACTATTTTTTAAATGCTACTTTAAGTACATACCTGAGAATTACAAAAATTAATTTTCATTTTAACAGATGGACAAGGAGGTGGAGGTTCAGGCAAGCTGTCCATTTCTACAATTAATTTAGGAGGGGTTTGGAATTTTTTCACACGATGAGCAGCAAAGGCAGTTAATGATAGCTCAAGATCAGCCAGATGAAGATTCAAGGACGGCAAACTGACATACTGAAAAATACATAAAATAGACTTTTCATATTAAAATAATAGAACACACTGCATCAACATGCTAAGAATATGAGATTTGATTACTCACTATCAAAACATATATTTCTGAAAAATATATCAATGAAAAGAAGCAAAAAACAATAAACAATATATAACAATTAAGTACATTTTCCTTACTACAAAAAATTTGAGAAGCATAGAAAGAAGGGAAAATGTAGCATTCATGCTAAAAAAGATAAATGTAAAAAAGAGGATTTCATAGAAACTGGATTAAACAAAGGAGCTTTTAATAAAATCAATTAAAAAATGAAGTACCTTAAATGGATCATATTCCAGTGCTGCATATGCTAAAGATGCTGTATGAAAATAAATTCCTTCCATAAGAAAGGGTGATATGGTTGGTCGCTCTTCAAACATATTAGGATGGTTACAAACTTTACGTAACTGCATTAATATATTTATAACACTCATAAAATTTCCTGTTGCTAGTGTTTCTTTAGTCCTAAAAAAACAGAAGGAATGCTTAGTTATTATATAAAAAATTTTAAAAAGAAAAATACGTATGATATACATCTTAAAATACATAATGTTAAATATGACAGACTCATTTCCAACAAGGAAATCAGCAGTCAAATGGGTAAAGCCATAATAACCAGTAGTTCAGTCTACTTGATTCTCAGTGGTGAAACTCGACGGCAGCATGGAGTTTTCTCCATACATAGTGTAAAAACAAGACAATTTCATTTACATTTTACATTGACATCCTTCATCTCAGAAAGATAACTCTTGTATGCTTTGCTGTAACTAATAAATTTACTTATTTATACAAATCTACAAGTTACTCTTTTAAACAATTTCATCTCCAATAAAATAAGTGTAATACATGTAATGTTATGTAATTTATACATGTAATGTATATGCAAACACATAAAATGCATACACAGTGGAACCTTTCATGAGAACTACTTCTGAAAGCAACAGTACTTTTAAGACATAATTCAGAATATCATGTTAGACGATACTGAAAGCTATATTCTCCAGTGCAACCACTTCCAAACAAAATCATATGGTACTCTATAGGTCTTGGAGGGATTTGGAATTTGGACTGTCCAACATTAGACTGTCTTTCACTGCAAATTTCCAAATACAAGCCGATCTGTGTATATACCGACAGTGAGTTTTTTCCCCTTATTTTTGAAGAAATCCAAAATTAAAAATCCAAATATAATTCAAAATGGAAGGGGGAAATCCTGTAATATTCAAACATGTCACCACAAGAGAAAAAAAACATGCGTGTTATTTTCCAATTAGATAACTGTAAAGTAAAAGGACAGACTCCTAACAAAACAGTTTTAATTCTGGTAATCCGATCTGAAGTTAGCACATTTTTTCTTTTTGTTTGTTGTCTTGTACATGTATGTTCACGGTATCTTTGCTAACATGGTAGGGTGGGGGCTCATTTCACAAAACGAACATCTCATTTCATTGAAATTTTCATCATAAATTTAAGAAATAAAAAAGTGCAACAATTAGCAATGATCTCTTTCTGTCAGCTAATGAAGAAGTATCTATGTTTTTCTGCAAGTTTAGTGGATCCTTATATAAGCTGACCCTCATAGTTTAGCTTAAGAAAAAGTTCAAAAAATTCTTTGTTTATACATGGAAATATGCAGTATATATCACTACAAGTACAGGCTAAAACAATATTAATACACTGGCATACATACTTTGTCTGTGACATGAAATCATCATACAGATATCTCTGTCGCTTGGAAAGACGGCACATAACAACATGCTCATATTTCTTAGGAAGTTGTTTTTCAACCTCAGACTTCAATCTTCTCAGTAAAAAAGGTCTTAACACCTTTAAATTTAATTAAAATAAATAACACTGAATAATACAAAGTACAAGCAATTAAAAAAATTAAAATCTTCAAAAAAATAAAGGTTTAAGGTTATCACTTTGAATCATTAATAATTGCAAAAGGAATACAGAGTTCAAAGGTGACTTTTCTAGAAACAGCAATGAAGTATAAGATGATATGCAAAATAAGATGCAGCACAATATTTTAAATTATCCTATTTACTACTTTCAGTGAAAATTTGACTGATACTGTAACTCTATCATAAATTATAATTCAACATAGATCTATCAAATCATAACAACAGCTTTTTAAGTGAAGTTTTAAAAATACTACATGCAAACAAGTTAACAATTGTATGTAAAAGGTCAGAAACTATAGCAATAAAGATGCACTGAAACCAAAATGAATTTTATTACGGTTCCATCAAAATAATTTAACTACACCAATGTAATTCTAAAGGCCCGGTGGGCACAGTGGCTAGCGCATCGTGCAGCATCACCATAGGTTCGGGGTTGGGTTTGAGTTGACCTTGCCCGAGCCTTTTATCCCTTGATTTCCATCCTTTGGGTCGATAAAATGAGTACCAAGTTCACTTGGGGACTAAACACTGGGGGTCTTGCAACAAGCTGACCACTTGTTCAGGGCATATGCTTACGTACCCCGGGGCCCATGGTCAAGAAAGCAGATTTCAAGGCACTGCAGGCATTAGCCCGTTAGGTCTGTTACGCCACTGAGTTTAGTTTTTAGTTTTTTATGTAACTCTAATTTATGATGAATAAATTCCATTCAAAAGAATTACAAATTACTATTACATGCTAGCAGTAAAATTTTAAGGATGTGACAAGATCAAATTTTGTAAACATCAGGGTCAAAGAAAGAAGCTTAAATATAAAAGTACAGTGGTACCTCGACATAAGAGTTTAATTCGGTCCATAAACTTACTTGTATGTCAAATTGCTTCGTATCTCAAAGCAATTTTCCCCGTTGAAATTAATTGAAATGCCATTAATCCGCTCCAGCTCCCAAAATACCACCTCAGTAGTTTTTATCAAGTGTTTTTGAATAAGAAAAATGTATTTACAAGAAGAAACATTTATTACATATTTCATCACGCTTTGCTCCTTTTCACCTGTAGATCATTTAAAACAACTGTTCAAGGAGGTTTGTTTCTTTCTCCCTTTCAGGATATTGCGGAAATGAGTTAGGCAAGTTTCGTTGAACAACTCCAATGCACGACCAGTTGCAATTTTTTCAGGGCGATTTTTATCCACGAACTCTACAACTTTCTCCCACATTCCCAAGACCTCGTTTACATCTTTTGTAGGGATAACCTCCTCCACCTCTGGCTCATCTTCAAAACTAATTTTTCGTTGAACCACCGTATGCTGCTGCGAATGTAGATCATGTAACTCCTCGGTTGTCAGCTCCTGAGACTGTTCCTCGACGAGTTCGTTCACATCTCTCTCATCCACCTTCAGACCCATGGATTTTAACAGAGAAACAAGTTTAGTCTGAGGTGGGAGAAACTGTTAGACGCTGCACACAACATCAACATGCGCGCGCATGTTGCGGTCGTGTGCAGCGGAGTCTGTATAGTGTGCGATTCCTCGTATCGCAAATCTTGCTCTCATCTCAAGGCCAAATATCGCTTGCTCAGCAGCTCATATCTCAAAACACTTGTATATTGAGGTACCACTGTATATACAGTACAAAGTCTGTAATCCGGATATCCATTATCCGGACATCAAAGCCACAAACTTTACGCATGCATGTATTGAAAGCAATGTTTAATAAGTAAACAAATAAATATTCAGCCTTTTTTTTTTTTTTCTGTAAAATTTGATATACTTTAGATCAGGGATCCCCAAACTATTTTGGACAAGTGACCCCTTTTCCAAAATGAACTGTTACCTCAGACCCCCATGGCCAAATTACCTACTTTTAAGATCAACCCCCTTATTCATAATGGTCCGCTAACTTAAAACAGCTGCTACAGAGTGTTATTTTTCATTCTGACTTAGGTCAATAGAAGAAGACAGAATGAGAATTAGCAATGCTTTAAGTTAGCAGACTATTATGAATAAGGGGGCCTATCTTTAGTTTTTTTCCTATTGATACAAAATACCTAAGTACTAAGGTACCAATTGGAAAACTTGGCACTTGGTTAAGTGAGTAAAGTTGACTTCATTTTCTCATCAAAATTTAACAAAATAAAAAGACATACAATTCAGTAAATATCAAGTTTAATTTATAATGATTATTACAAATTAAGTACTTAAAGAATCTTAAGTAGGTAGGAAATTATATTTTAAAAAGTATTAATTCGCAAAGAGAAAATAAACATTCAGTGTGATGGATGAACCTGCTGACAATCTAGCTACATCCGGTTCAATATTGGTGAGTTGCAGCCTTAAATCTCCACTTTGGTTGATTTTCAAATGGTTTCTTTGTTACCACACTGAAGCTTTTTTCAACTAGGTATGATGATGGAAAAGCAATAAGGTATTTTTCAGCAATGTTCTACAATGTAGGATACTGTGTTTCAACGTTGCGTTGCAACCAAAACTTCTGATAGCCTTGGTTGAACTTTTGCTTAAGCTCTTCGTCTGTGCTGATGGTAATCAACTCTTCTTGCATTATCACATTGGCTTCTTCTATGGCTGTGGTATTGTACGGATTTATTATCCATTGAGGAATTTGTAAATTTAAAAGATCCTCAAACCTCTCCGTAAAATCCTTGTGTAATGCGTCCAAGTGAGTGACATATAATAAAATGTCATCATCTTGAAGCATTTCTGGTAATTTTGACAAATGCGGAAACTGCGAATATTCTTTTCTGCTCTAAATTTTGTTTATAAAGGATTAGTTTACCCACGAAGGCCGATATTATTGATTTTGTTTTTAATCAAGTTAAGATCGTCACCCTGCAGTTGCAAATTAACTTTGTTGAACATTCCAAAGATATCAGTCAAGTAATAAATATCTGTTTTACAATTGTTCAGATTTTCTTTCAAATGCGGATCTTTTTCTTGTAAAAACTCCAACACAGATTCAAAAATGGCTGAAAATCTTTCTAAGCAAGAGCCTCTTGATAGCCAGCGAACTTCAGTGTGCAGAAGTAATCGAGTAAAGACTTCGTCGTTTTTCCTCACATAGCTGAGCAAATAACCGAGAGTTCAAAGAATTGTTTCGAATCTTGTTGATAGCATTTATTACATATTGTAAAGACTTATGCAAACTAGGACTCAGCTTCTTTGCTACTAAATGCTGCCTGTGAATCACGCAGTGAATGACCAGTACATCAGGCAGTTGTCACTTTAAGTGAGTTATAAAACAACGATGACGACCAACCATAGACGGTGCACCATCAGTCGCAACAGAAACAATGTTCTTCCATGGAATAGCTTTGTCAGTAAAAAAATGTTCCACGGCCTGAAAAATCTATTCTCCTCTGGTATCAGTCTCTAAATATGTAGCAAAAAGCAGTTCTTGGCACATATTTTCATCTTTGATAAATCGAACATATCCTAACAACAGAGCTTCATTGCCGGGTAATGTAGACTCGTCCAACTGGAGAGAGAATCTGTTGGTCTGTAAGAACTTGCATAAAATGTTTTCCACATCGCGTCCCATCTCGTCTATGCGTCTCTGAACGGTGGTATTGCTCAAAGGTATTCTCTTTAAAATATCATGTGCGGGTTTGTGCAATACATTGTTAAGGACCTCCACAATGGCTGGTAAGATAAGCTGCTCTCCAATTGTGTGGGGTTTCCCCGACTTCGCTATTAGTAAAGATATATTATAGGACACTCGTAAACCATCATCGTCTTTAATAGATGATGACGCAAACATCAATTTTATGGATGGCCTTTTGTCTAGTTTTTCTTTAAGTGCTTACTTTTTTTGTCAGCATGTACTCTTGATAAGTGGTCATCCATTTTTGAAGGCTTCATGGCATCGTTACTGAATACTTTTTCACATATCAGACACATCATCAAGTGTGGATTTGATGAAGATGCAATAAATCCAAACTTCAAGTAGTCCAAACTGTATTGCCTGCATTTTTTTTTTCGTGTCCGCCATCATAAAACTCTCAGTAATCAGTCACTTTACTTCACTTAATTAGCTGTGTAATAACTTTGTAATCTCTTGAAATAAATGAGTTATTATCGTTCATTAAATAGTAAAATATCAGGAACATGTTTGGACTTGATCATGAATTCGTTCGTGTTAAATCGCATAAGCGTCAAATAGAGACCAAGTCAAAACGTGCCCGAAAGACGTACGCTCGAACTCATTATCCTTGCACAAACTTGTCCACACAGACTTGCCAAGTTCATTATCTTGTATAAACTTGAGACTTAACATTACTACTACAATGCTGTTTCCTACAAAAATATTAATTATTCTTAGTACACGTAACACGACATAAACAATACAGTACCTACCTATCTTGAAAGTTATAAATACGAACTTGTGTTAATTTAATAGGGTCGATTTTTAGACCTCGTCGACCCCCAAAATCAGTTTTCGTTTATGTCGACCCCTAGGAAACCCGGCTTTAGATCATAACTGCTCCTTATTTAATAAATTATGGTTTCATATTTTTAATTGCATAATTTCTGCATGCCATCTAACCAGATTTAAATTGATGATCTATAATTTGAAAAAAAAAACCCATAATCTGGAACCGCTGAAGTCCTGACGAGTCCGAATTATGGACTTTGTACTGCATTTTCATTTTAATTCCATGTACCACATACAAGATTGGTCTATAATTTACGGCTTATTACAACTAGATTAAAAAAAATGGAATAAGAACTTTTCAGAGAGAAAATCTACAGTAAACTTTGATTTCTGCTATTGAAAACAAAGGACATGTAATTGGATTACAAGGATTCACTTCTATGCAACTTACCTTATGCAATCTCTTAATCAAACTTTCATTGTATTCATGACTACCTTCTATCATACCCGTAAAGGGATTTACAAACCACTCTCGAAATTCTCGGTGAGACTGGAAGACATTTGGCATTAAAAAGTGCATAAGGGACCACAACTCCATAAGGTTATTTTGCAAAGGAGTACCAGTGAGAAGTAGGCGGTGAGAGCTTTGGAAATTCAGCAACATTTGCCAACGTTGAGATTTAAAGTTTTTTATATGTTGTGCCTAAGGAAAAGAAACATTATACAAATATGAATTACAAAACTAAAACAAATAATAATGCATAAAAACACAAATGGTTAATTCCAGAGGAATAGAAACAATATAAGGGGGTCAAGATTATTAGCATGTTTGATACGCCAATCATTCAAAAAATAAAATTTTAGAATAAGTTGTGTTTTTCTAAGCAATGAAATCATTTCTGTGTGAAACTGAATTATAAAATAAAACATGAAAAACAAATCTCAAATATTTTAGAAACTTAATTATAAAATGTAAGTTTACTTCATCCAAAATGAAATATTTCCATTTTTTCCTGCGAAAGGCTTGATGATCTTGTACTACTAGCTTATATGATGTTATACATACATGAAAAGCATTAGGTTTTGTCCATCCCTATATCAAAAATAAACAAAAACTAAAGCTTTAGAGAACCAAAACTAGTTTTATTTTAAAAAGTTTTACTATCAAATTTATACAGAATTTAAAGTATATATTTGCACATCACATTTATTTTGCTCTCAGTATTAAATAAAAAAAAAAAAAAAAAAAAAAAAAAAAAGATAACAAAAAGAATCATACCACACGTTTCTGTTTACGCTCTTTTGGTGTTCCATAATATGTCAATATTTTAAATCCTGGACACCACTTTTTGAATTCCATTTCCCAATTTAGCATTACACTAGTAGGAACAACAATTAAATGAGGACCCCATACACCTGGAATAAAATGATATAGATATTAATTTTAATTATTATACCACCTGCCCTCTCCCTGTAAAAAGAATTCCTAAATAAATAGAAAAATTCTTAATGTCTAGTTAAAATAACATACAAATCCCTAATGCTTACTCAATGTTCTAGAGCAGTGGTCGCCAAAAAGTGGAAAACCTTTTGATGGTCCACAGAAAAATTGGGATATTATTTAAATTTTTTGAAGATTCAGTTTAAAGAATGACGAGTAACAAAACTTATCATGGAATATGGATTATACTTTTTTAAAATTTTAGCTTTAGTGAAATTCCTTTTTAATTTAGAGACTTTTTAAACCCCTTTTGCAGGTGTATCTAGCAAGATTTGGAATAAAATGAAAGATTAGAAGAGATTTGGAAAAAATATGAAAGTGAGAGTTGGCATCCATAGATATGCTGCTGTTATCAATAATAGTGCAAATTGGAATTTCCTTTCCTTTTGAATTACAAACATATGCTATTGTAGTCGTTAATAACACAGTTTTTCTCGGTGTCGATAGGCAACTTGATGGATTTTTATGAGAACCATCTGAATTCTTGTTTATAATTGCATCACTGAAAGTTTCCATTGGCTGAGTAAGCGATGTTTATTATGCTTACAGTAATTAAAAATTGGCTGCTTAACAGTTTCAGTTTATTGATATTGTTTTGCATTTGCTGATTTGTTCTTGCTCTTGCTTTTTGTGAAGTTCTTTTCAGTGATATGGAAAAGTGAAGCTTTCTGTACAAGACAGTAAGATGTTTGTACTTTTCATATAATTTTCCAATGTGACTGCATTGGCTCCTGACTCCAAATTGATCTTATAACTCTGTTTCTTTAAATAATTTTAATCCTCATTTTTTAATTTGAAAATAATCTTTATTAAAGTTTTCAGCAAATGTAAACAATTTTAGAATAACAACACTGAACAATCTGTTTGTTGCCATTCCAAAAACAACCAAAAAACAAATAAAACAATATTAATCAGTACTTAAAATTTCTGTATAAGTTTAAGCCACAACAGTACTCCCTTCCCAGTAACTAAGTTACGGTAGGTCATATTATTACCTTTAAAACACACTAGTCACAAAAAATATTATAGATATATACATGAATGCCAATCCCATAATCGCATAGGGGCTTTTAAGTAAGTCTGTTGGAGGCTCGACAGATTGTCTTATTGGCATTATTGATTGCTTCGTAGTAATGTCTGGTATTTGCAAGAAATATGCTGCCTTTAATCTATCAATAGACACTGTAAAATCTTTGTGATTTATTTTTACTGTAAAATATTTTTCTTTTCTGTCAACCACTTGAAAAGGACCATCGTAAGAAGGTTCTAACTGCTTTTTAACTTTATCTTTGCGAATAAACACATGTGATGTTGTTTTCAAGTCTTTAGGGACGAATATTTTTTGGACATGTTTATCAGATACTGGTCTTGGTCCAATTTGTTCTATAGTTTTTTTCATCTGCTTGATAAAAATATCAGGTGGTGTAGGAGTTGTGCTATCTTGGAAAAATTCTCCAGGTAATCGTGTATTTTGTCCATAAACCATTTGAGTAATGGCGTATGCAAAGTCTTTGTGCATAGCTATGCGTAAACCAAGAATAGTTGGAAGTGTTTCACTCTAGGCCAGGCTATTTGGTTTCAAAGATGAGTTTCTCATATTGTTGCAACACTGAGCCAATCGCCGCATCTGAGTACAGAGGTAGTTCAGAATTGGGAAAAGACAATAGTGTGGTGTTCACCAGGTCATTATTGCACTTTTCAAACTGTTTTTCAGCTTCTTCAGTCTACTGGATTTTACGTTTAGCGAAATGGAACCTCTTTTTAGCTCCCTTAAGATACTCATGTAACAATGCTTGATTCTTCATTGCATCTTTTAGGTAACGATGATAAAAGTTAAGTATTCCAAGAAAAGTTTCCATGAATTGTCTGGTAGTTTGCAGTTGGTAACAGCTTAAACTCTTTGTGGCAAAGGAGGGGAAACCTGAGGTGTAATTAGGTAGCCTAGAAACTTGATTTGTTGAACAGCAAACACAGATTTTGAAATATTTATTCTTAAACCAAATGTATTTAATCTTTCGAAAACTGGGTCAGCAGTTACTGGGCTCCTGACTCCAAATTATCTTTATAATTATCACTCTGTTTCTTTAAATAATTTTAAACCTCATATTTTAATTCAAAAATAATCTTTATTATAGTTCTTAGCAAATGTAAACAGTTCTTAGAACAACAACACTGAATACTCTTTTTGTTGCCAGTCAAAAAAAAATAAAATAAAATAAAATAAACGATATAAATCAGTATTTAAAATTTATCTATAAGTTCAAGCCACAAAAAATGAAATACGTGCATCTGTGAGATGTTAATAGAGTTTTAATTGTTACTCATAAACAGGGGTGTAGCCTGGATTTCCATAACGGCATGCTGCTGAACACCAAATGCTTCGAAAATTATATTAACAAATGAAAATTAGAATTACATGCATTGGAAAGTTGAATAGATTGATTTTGTATATCTATAAGTTGTTTTTAAGGTCTGATTTAGATTTTTTTTTTTAAAATTCATATTACTGGTCCACCAAATATAAAATTATATATGTAGTGGTCCGTGAAGTTCTAAGGGACCGCCGTTTTAGAGAGAATAACAACTAAATTATTCACATGAAGGACGTCCATCCAGCAAATAAATACTGCTTTCAGATTTCATTTACACCTTCCTCACATTGTATAATTACAAATTTTCTGTGATACCGTATGATTATTTCCAATGAAAAAAACAGTCAACATATTCCTCAATTTTAACTAAAAGCTCTTTTAAATCTTCCTATAATCAATATTAAAATGAAAGATGTTCAAAATTCTAAGAAAGGCCACAATTATGCTTATTATTATTAACTAAAATTAACGAAGAAATAATTGCAAATAAAAATATTTTAGTGAACCCAAAAACGACGAAAAAATGAGGGTGAGAGACACCAAAAATAGCTTTACATGTATACAGCATTATAAAAATTACAGTACAGTATTATGCATTAGTAGTGTAAATGCAATATACAAACATTTGGACACAAAAAATAAATAACAAATATCAAATTTAAATAAATAAAGCAACGAATTAACAAATTTATATACACAAGGACTATGAGCGTAGTATACTATTTACAATATACATACAATAGGGATTATACACAAGGGTAAGGAGCCACAGTAAGGGGTTGGCCTGTCATAATGAATGACTTTAAGCTACAATCTGACTTCCAGATTTATCCTATGATGTCGTTCACTGTCCTAGGGTAACTATAGTTTCAGAGAAAGTCCTTTCTGTCGAATTAGATTACATAATCATACCTTGTCACCTTTATTGAATCAATGTCATGTAGCTCTCCTAATGTATGAGGTCTTAATCTTCTCTGTCATTAAGCTGACTTACTCTCATGCCGAATTCCACATCACTTCAAACCGTGCCTGGAGATATGAATGCACTCCTCAGGCAATGAAGGTGCACAAAGAGGGTAACCAAACAAAAGATCACAGGGCACATGAAGGATACGCAAGGAGCATTAGGGATGGTGAACAGCCAGTAGTCTCATGTGCAGCACTGTGATAGGCCAAGGGTTAACTTCTGGTCAGTCTTGTTATCTTCTGGAAACCACCCGTCAAAGTTCATTAAGGATGGCTTGATTAAAACTCTTCACCATGCTGTCTGACTGGGGATGTAAGGGTGTCGTTTGGTTTTTGTCAATGCCAAGTAGCTTGCAGAGCTCTTTAACCTTCTAAAAGGTGGCCGAAATTCTCATAATATAGCCTTCAGACTAGCGTGATTCAAAATGCTTTGACCCCCTCTTTTGACTTTTTCCTAATGGGAAAACTAGTTAGAGTGGTCATTTGTCCCCTCCATGGATGCAGTAAAATTTACATATTTGTCAGACACTGTTTCATAGTCCAGAATGGGTTGCTAGCTTTGTAATTTTTTCGATGTTTATTTTGCTTTCATTTAACCCTTCAGCACAGGTGCGGGACAAATTTTACCCTAGTGTTTGTTCGGAGTTCCCCCCCCCAACGTATAAATAAATGCTGCTTTTTTTTTTTTAAATGAATGTATACATGATTAATAGCTTTATACATTTTGCTGAAACTTTTTTTCAAGTTTTAATTCGACATAATCTTGCTTTAAATTATACATACATTTCCCTATTGCTTACCATGAAAATCAAAATTTATACAAAATGACTAATTTATTTAGGATACATATATACGATTTCTTATATTAGAAAAAAACAATTTTCATATGTATAAAACTTTTTAACCTAAGTGTTTAGTATAAAGAGTGGTTTGATAAAATAGAAATAGAAATGTAAAAGGAGGAATATGCAAAGGCTGCATTCTTGTTAGATTTTTTACCCTTAAAACTCAATATAATATCATACAATTATTCAAATTATCTCGTTTTGAACAATCCTTACATAGTGTGACAATATGTATTTTACAAACGAATTTGTTGCAGTTTGCAAAAAATACAGAGGTTTTGCAGTCGTCTTTTCTGGGGCATATATCACAGCATCCTGAAGCCCTTATTTGGAATTTCTTAGGTCTGTTGCATCTTCTATTCCTGCCAACCTTTCTACACCAATTTTCAGTTTTTTTTTTTCCGAGAGAGATGGAATTGCAGCCCTTTTTACGAGATGTTCTTCTAATGCTAAATCTTTGAGAAAAGTTCTTTGGTTCATACTCACTTGGTCATTATTTGATTGATGAATAAAAAAAAGCATTTGTATCTGCAATGCATTTATACCGAAAAATACCATCAAAGGCCAAAGGCAGCATTTTCTTGAAACAGAGTAAGTTCCACATAACTCATTAACACCACCTTTATTAGAGTTGTAAAATTATCATTTCGAGCTTGAGCTGTTCATCAGATCAATTTGAATATCTTCATGCATGGATGATAGAACAAGAACCGATTTACTCTTTTTTTGGAACATATGATGCAAGTTAAATCTTTAGCTCTAAACCATGAAAGTGAAGAGTATAGAAGCCTGTTTTTATTTGGCAGAAATTCTTGTGGAATTTTACACTTATCTTTTCGAAGGGTTTCTACACATGCCAATTTGTGCTTTTTCAATAGTTCATTGGCCAAAGAAATGCTCATGTACCAATTGTCCATAGTTATATTTCTTCCTGTGCCACTTATAGGTGCAATAAGTCTTTGTACAACACACAACACCGCATTTGATTGTCTATATTGTCCTACAGGCTGCTGAACTGCATAAATTTTAGGTTGTATGTATAAGTACGAGGATTGCACAAAGCAAAAATTTTTATTCCCTATCTTGCAGGCTTACTTTTTATATATTGTCTGAATTTGAAGGCTTTCTCAGACATTTTGCCTATTTTATATCAATCATTTCCTTCTTTTTAAGCATCTTTTCTAACAATTAGAAATTTGTCTTAATACGCCAACAAATGTTCTCACTAGTTTTCTGTGTGCTTTATCTCCTAACTTGTTAACTTCTCCACAATGTACCTATGAGGGTTTACTGGATCTGGTAAAAGTTAAATAGTCCAAACCTCCTGACAGACGTAAGGCAAATTATTGCTATGTGTGGAAGTAACTACAAAGTCATACAAAGCTTTAAATAAGCCTCTTATTTAAAAAGGACTTAGAAAATAACATCAAGTTCTTATGCTAACAAAATCAATTACAGCTCGTGGTGATGTAATTAAACAAGAAGAGTCAAATTCAAATTAAAACTGTGGACTTAGTGGTAAAAAACTATACAATTTAATTTTAACTGGCAGTAACTCTAAACGTCAGCAGTGATAATACAGCAAGCAAAAAGACATCAGACACACTCCCAAAACCTCAGTTTAAAAACTGCCTAAGTGATTTGCATTCTGGTCAGAAAACAGAAAGGAGAACATAATTTTGGGGTTTAACTAAAGAATTTTGTTATTCTATAAAAACTAAATGCATTTAGAATGTATAGAAAAAGCTGCTAATTTTATTTCTTTAGTAATATGAACATTCAGAAGAAATATGAAATATATATGGTAAGGGCCGGTTACAGAGCTCGTGTGGCATAATTTTTAGGATTTAGTAACACACCGAGTAACAATCTAGAAATGGAAAAACTTTTAGAATTTAGAAAGGCACTAGGTAGCAGAATTTATGATCCAAAGAGATAGCATCAGGTGAGAAAATGTCTAACACTAGCCCTGTGTATGATGCACTAAGACACATTAGAGAAATTTAAATTTTCTATTTTTAATTTCTTCATTAATAAAAAAATTCCTTTCTACAATGACTTTGGGATAAAATTTTCTGATATTTTCCATGTTTATGTCTAGAGAAAAGTACAGAAAAAGGTTCTATTATCAGAAGTAAAACATTCAAATATTATGGTTTCATTGTTCTTCCAGATGTTCCCCAAAAAGTACGAAATTCATCGCTCTGTAAATCATACTTTCTGTAAAATACATCCACTACGTGTACACCAGGGAGACAATTTTCCTTTTGGCACATTTTTCTGGAATCTTCCAGAATCATGGGTCTGTGGTCAAAATGGAACTTTATACATGCCAGTGAAAATTTAAAATGTTTTACTTTATTTTTTAAATATAATTTCAGTATATTACCATTATTTTAATGAAATTTAGCAATGTTACAATGTTTTTTTTTTTTTTTTTTTTTTTTTTTTAATTGCTGAAAATCTCCCAGATCTATGAATTAAAAATTTTCTACAGAAACTAATCTTAAAATCGCCAAAATGTTGATAAGTCACCAAATTTAGAACCACTTAATAAAGGAAATCAGGTTCACAAAAGCAAAAAGCCATTCAACAGCTCTTCATTAGAAAAAATTAAGTAATTTCAAAATACTTTATGTTTCACTTCTTTTACTATGAAACTCAAGTAGCCCACCATTTATATTAGAAACAGGAACAAATTATAACACATTAACTCATTCACCCATTCAAAAGATAACCATATTTATCAGTGAATTGCCAAAACCATTCCTCCAAAATGCAATTTCACACTCAAAATGGCAATCGTAAAAACAGACAGAAATTTCAGATGATTACAATTAAGGACTTTCTGCCGATTTTGGCTGAAATTAAGGACCTTTAAGAACTAAAAAGCGATTCCAAAAAACTTAAGGACTTTTAAGGGCTGTACGAACTTTGGGACAGAGCTTCGAAATCTCGCCTCTGGTTTTCAGCCAGGGTCTAGCGCATATACATTGTGTTGGTTCTCAGAAAAGCAGCAAGGTGGCAGGCCTATGTTTTGGAATCTTATCTATTTGCCACAATAGAGAACTGAGTTTTGTACAGTTACCAGGAGGTTTTTCCATCACATATGGGTAGCTTTAGAAAGTGTTGTTATGACATATGTAGGAATTTGAGGTCATCAGATATTTTCCAGATGTCTAGCAGAAACTCTTATGATTGATTTTCAACCATTTCTATTTTGCTTTCCATAATCTCCAATTTGTTTTCGATTAAGGCAGTAATTCCTTTCTTGGACCACATTCCCCACTTCTTTAAAAGACTTGACGGATCCTTTCTTGGCTCACTATCATTCTTTTTTTTTTTTAAATACTGCAAAGGTTGTCACCAGTCACCACTTGTCTAAGTTGCTTTACCGTTCCTCTTGTTACCAGCATTCAATCAGTTACATAGAGGGATTAGACTAACTACATTATACCGGTTATTGGACAAAAATGGCGCCAAGCTTGGATAGTCAGCTAGGCACTTTCAGTTTAAAAATTACCATATAAAAATTAATAATTATATAATATATAATACACAAAAACAAATTACATAATATCAAAACAAAGATAACTACCATCACTTTGGTTGAACTGAACAAGAATATTTTTTAAAAAGTGGAGGGTCTAACAATTGAAAATTAATTAGTTTTTTATGTGTATACATTTGCATTAAACAAAATTTAATGCTTTATTTTAACTGGCATGTTAATTCACCGAGAGATACAAAATCCATACCCTTTTTTTTAAAAAAAAAAATTGTATAGATTTTTAAAATAACATAATATCACAAAACATTTTCCTAGGATAATATAAAGCTTAACACTTTACAGACCACTAGCGGTTCAACAGCATGCACACATCCGACTGGCTGCTCAGCCACAGATTCTGCCTCTTTTGAATAACTGTCAGAACAATCTGATAAATCGTTTAAATAAAACTCTCCAGTACAATTTTTTTCGCTCATCGTGGAAGGTAAATTTTTTAAAAACGGTGTGAAAATGTGGGAGTTTACAAAGCAACGCACTAACCGCAACTAAGCAATGTACCTCAATACTACTAATAAAATGCAAATGATATAGCAAAAGGCAACTGTTTATCACTATAGCTACCGACTGATAGGCTATTTTTAGGTAGCCTCGAAAAAAAAAAGTGATTAATAGGCTATCAGTCGGTAGGTGTTGGCGATAAAAAGCCGATTAATAGGCTATTGGTCGGTAAAGTGTTAATTTAGTAAATCTAAAGCATAGAATTCCCTCATATCTGTAAGCTTTTAAAAATAAATGAATGCTAACAAAAAAATACCTAAATACCATATAAAATTTTTTAAAAATGACATCCACACGGAGATGTTTGCCATGGCTGAGGAGTATCTGGCAAGTAAAAAGACTGATGACATACCCAATGAATAAAATAAAAAGATATCTTTAATTATTAATTAAAATCCGGAAATCTAAAAATTATTTTCAAAAAATAATTATTCACATTATTAAAAGAAAAAGAACAAAGGGGAATAAAACATGTGATAATATGAAATGTAGAAAACATAAAATCTGGCAATATTAACTCACATTTCCAAAAATTGCAAAAAACTAAGCAAGGTGAAATAAGCCTGACGACAATACTAAGAAAACATTCCATAAAAATCACCCTGAGAAACAAAGATAAATGCTTCTTTCCATAAAAGAAAACTAACAATAAATTTCTCACGGCCCCTTTTCCAGTCTTAGGACTTCATGCTAATTCATGACATTGTGACGAAACTAGATTCTAAGATTCTAAGAATACTTAAAATTATGTACCTTTTTCACAAGCAAGATGAGCTAAAATTGATATTGTCTGAATAGTTTTGCCAAGACCCATTTCATCAGCTAAAAATTCCATTTAATTTCTTGTCATACATGGCATTTAACCAATCGAGACCAATATGCTGATATTCTCGAAGTTGATGCTTTAATAAGAACGGTACTTTTGTATAAACCTAAAAATAGATACATAAATAAAAACAATTAGAAACAAATAAAACTTTACACATACAAATAATTCCCTGCTTCCCTACTTTATGGCTTTATAAATTATGAATTTACACATTACTAATGAAATAGATCTTCCTTTTTAAACATTATTTTTAGCATTTGGCATTTATTTATTATATGTACTACCTAGTACTAGTTGTTTATTATATGTACTACCTTCACTTGCAGGCAGAGAAAAATTAAAATTGTAAGTAATGTAAAAAACATATATTTTTTTGGCTTACATCAAAATTAATTGACAATTAATTTTATTAAATAAAATAACTAATTTTAGAGCCTTTAAAAATTAAACAGTAACTTAGAAACCTATAGCACTTTAAAACTGTATTTACTCACTTCTAGAATTAAAATTTGAAATTTTTGACTACATACAACTTTTTTACTTTAATCAATCATGCTCAATAGACAAACAACAAGAACTAAAGTAAATTACAGAGCTAATAAGTTAAAAATACATTCTCACTTGAGTTGTAGATAATGTATTTCCTTTAGGCTGAAAACTTTCAGCTGTAGCAGCAATATCACTTATCTCTTTTGAAGGGCTTTCAGACACTCTCTCCTGCTAATATAATAGTTTTAAGATTCTAATTATGAAAAAGAAAATAAGCAAAGAATGAAATTAAAAATATTTGTCCCAAGCAATAATAAAATTCTAAGAGCTCTGAAATACGTAATAAAAAAAATCTGATGTGTACACCACATTTCATTTAAACTTATCGGATTGAATTAAATCTACTTCGCCGACAGCACATAAACCACAATAGAATAAATGCATTCTTTAAAATTCACTCTAGTATTTGATTACCATAGCGACACTCTGGCGCTAGATTCACTTAACAGTATTAATAATTACGTAACAGTTAACTTATATAATAATTCCATAACGGAAACTAAGTTAACTGTTATATAATCCAATAATCATAAAACAGTTAACCTACATATTTCCTTCACATTATAACTCATAATGCACAAAATTTATATCATTTAAAGAATACGATTATCTAATCGTTTCCACATGTTCTATTCAAATACTATGATAAAGCTAGAATGATGTATAAAAGAAATTAAGCAAACAAAACAAAAACGAAACAGTTTTTTACAGACGATTGAGTATTTCTCATTTAATTAATTCAGTTCTCACTTCGCGAGAAGGCAAAAATATATAAAAACCCAAAATATCTATATTAAAAATTACGAAGTAGATCTTAAACGCTTATTTCCTCGAAAAAATTCCAGAAAGGATTAAGCATGATTTAAATAATAAATGAACGCGCTATCTTTGTTGTTGCGAAGCTAAGTTTCTCTAGATTGGCAACAAATCCACTAGTCTCCTGTTTCAAATGTAAACATCAATGGCTGCCATCAAAAAAAAGGCTTAGCGGCAATTAAACAACTTTAAAATTGCTGATAATTCTAAAAATATTGCACACAGATTTACTAAAGGCATAAAATCCTTAACCCGAAGACTAAAACAACATAATTCAATCATTTTTAAAGAAAAAAATGTACAATTTACCAACATATAAGAGTAAAGAAACTGAGATCACTGAGCCGGGTAACAGAGTGGACATATATATAAATATATTTATATACGTTTGGTGCGGCCGATTGCAACCAAAATATGAGGTGCACATCTACATGTTATAGCAGTCCTATATACAAAATTTCAACTTTCTGAGGCTACTCGTTTTTTGAGTTATGCGAGATACATACGTACGCACGTACGTACATACGTTCGTACAGACGGAACGGAAAATTCTCTTCAGAATTAATTTTAAAGCAGTTTTATAATTTTTTTGAAGGAAAAGAGTATTTTATTCTGTCCTTACGTACAGATATCACGCAAACATCGTTAAATTGCATTCGATAGCGGTCAAAATGGATATTTTCGTTGAAATATGCTGCCTGAAACTTTTCGCGATTACAATACTTCCTTTTTACTTCGTATAAGGAAGTAAAAAGCATCTGACATACAACTGAAGGAAAAAACAGAAGAGTACAAATTATACAAATTAATTCAGATTTAATTAATCAGCTGTGATTGATGATAAAGAATTTTACAACAGAAAACATTACAATACAAAGAAATATTCAGAGAAATATAAATATTCTATACACTCTTCTACCATAAAAAAGATCTCATTTTTAATAAATAAAAAATATTTAGTGCATTAACTCTGAAATTCAGTCCCTTCGCTAAGCTGTATCCTCAAAATACCTGAACCGCCCGAAATACTTTTCCGATTTCACAACAATTTCCTCCCCTCCCCATCCATTAACGCAGAAAATAGGTGTGAAGATTTCGAATGACATCCTTTGTATTTTCTAACAAAGATTGCATTAGCCTTTGACCCCGTCAGACAAACAAGCCTTTCTGGCTTTGTAATGATCACGACTGAGATTTTGTTTACTTCCCTTATTTTTATAGGAAGGAATAAACTGATTAAAAATAAATATAATCCTTAAATTTTTAAACTGCACTTATATTGCTGTTTAAAATTTATAATAAAATAGCTCTGGTTTAAAGAGTAGATATTTTGTCATAATTCTGTTAAGTACCGACATATTCCTGCGTTTTTACAAAGGACATGAAATGGATCCCGCTAAGCAAAATGCGTATATTTATTATCACGTGCAACGTAAATACGAGCCAATTTTCGTTGGGAAAATCACTCCCATGCCTTCGTCAAACCTTCTGTACTTTGACGTATACAATACGCTACTTTAACACCCCGTCATGAATGTAATATAAATAAATAATTTTCTTTTTTTTAAAATTTTATTTTTACAGGAATTTATTGCTTTTTTCTTTTATTGAATAGAGGATTAAGATTTAACTTCATCTTTCTTTCTTTCTTTTCACGTTAAGTTGCTATTTTTTAGATAATGTAGTGCGTTATTTTTTTATTTTGTTTATTTCACTTTTCCTTTTCCAAAAATAATGAGGGTCTTTTCATTCGTTAATCAGTTGTTTGATCCCATCTTTGTGAGCAATAAACCTTAGTTTATAGACTTTTTTATGATTTTATTTATTGTACAAGTTTCAAAGCATGTTTATAGATGTCATTGTTTTTCCATGTTTTCATTAACTTAGTTATACAGTCAAAAGTCGTTAATTCGAACACCCATAATTCGGAATGATCTATAATCCGGACCTCAAAGCTACAAACTTTCTGCGCATGCGTCGCTTTGACGCATTCGCGTAAGACCTTTACGACTGCGAATATGCTTGTGCGCGTGCGCAAAATATGTTTACGAGTGCGGGTTTAATGTATAACGGACGGCATAAGCTAAGCTAAAATTATCTAATTATCTATTTCAGTTAAGGTTGCAGATTGCATTGTTCCTTAAACTTCGAATTGGATCTGGCTTATTATTTGTTGCAGACTGTTAGAGCAATTTTATAAAAGTAAGCTTGAACTTTCGATTATGTCAAATAGAATTTCTGATATATATTTATTAATATGTAAAGGATCTACAAAGCGAAAGTATGTTTCAAAACTCATTAAACAATAAGTGGAATTGCTGCAAAAAATGGCTAAAGGCATATCTTTTTTTATCTAAACTTTGTTTATCTTTAACGTCGTGGCGCGCAATGAATTGGAACAGGGTTGCCACTCAAACAGGAGAATGAAATTCCCTGACTTTTCCAGGTATTCCAGGTGTGTTTCAAGAAAATTCCAGTCTATCCGCGTAATGTACATTGGCTGTGCTAAGAGGTAAATTAATTATGGTATTACTTATATTGTGCAGCAAATTCACTTAATTATTGAATAAATCCCAGAGGACATTTATTCTTAATTATTCTTGGTATACTTTGTTTGATAATTTTGTTTAGTTTTCCACTTAAGAAACTTAATAAAATTTAAGATATATACATTGGATAACAAATGTATGTTTTATTTAATTATTACTCATGATCATCACCAGTTCAACACGAGGCTAAAGGTCCTTATAAATCACAACGCAATGCTAAATAGTTCGGTTAGATTTTAGGTAAATTTAATTTGCGTGAGGTATGTTCTTAAAAGGCACCTTAACACTTGAAAACACAAATATAATTATAATAGTTGTTGTTTTCTCCACTGAAGATTGAGATTAGAATCTTCCTAATCTGGAATAAAATAAGGCTTTTTTTTTTTTTTTTTTTTTTTTTTTTTTTTTTTTTGCAGACATTCTGCAGCTAAACGAAAGAAAGAAATCTATTTTAATAAATTGAGGTATTTTATATTTATTTTGCAGCATACATAAGGAAAAAATATGTGCATTAAATTTCGTGACGGTATGTCATCATACTGCTATAATTAATTTTAGGATTATGCCAGAGAAAATTTCCTGAAATTTGGAAATATTATTTACTAATAATAAATAAATTTAGAGGGAAGAAGCAACATTAAATTATGAATAACATAAAAATAATTACTTAAAAATTGAATTAGAATAATCAACGATATTTTAGCGAATATAGTTATATTACATGGCTAGCCTAGATAACTGATTACTATTTTTTTTTATTTTACTGCAAAATGGCAAGGTATTTATTAAAAAGAAAAAAAAAAAAGGTTTAAAAAGATTTTGCGGTAAAATTCTAGTATACGGTAAGGCTTTGGCACGATTTTGAAAATTGTCGCCAAGACCAAAATGACCCGTTTACTGCGCATCATGATGTCGCCAAATCCCATTATTATTCTAAACAAAGAACGTCTATGTAAAGAAGAAAAGGTTCCATACAAGTAAAATGCTATTACGCCGTTAGAATGCGGAGGGAAAATTTGCCAAGGGATTTGGCGACGGAACCTGGCGGCCAGAATTTCTCTCTTTGCGCCGTGTACAGGAAATCGAGAAACACGTGTTAAGAAGAAACGCTCTTTGACAAAAAGAAAACTACGAAAATCCGTTTTTAAAATTATTGCGAAAAATCCACGCAATAATTTTAAAAACGGATTTTCGTAGTTTTTTTTTTTTTCCCCTGAAAATAACTAATCCATGAATTAATTTACTTGCGCCAAAAAATATTTTCTTTTCCTTTAGAGTTTAACCACTTGCGCTAAGACTAAACTTCACGGTTGCGGTGCCGTGCGCTACAATATAACAAGCGGTAAAGTGTCTCATTTACGCCGCTCCGCATCCGCGAGTGCAATCCAGAGCTGTAACTCGAGAAATAAACAATCTCGTTGTTAGGCGACGTGTGCACCATGTTATTTTCATTTTTGCGATAAATGCTTATCGACGTGGTGTTCACGTCGCTCACGGTTTGAGACAAAAGCATCTCGACGTGCTTAGCACGTCGTTTTAGCGCAAGTCGTTCAAGAAATTTTAAACGATATTCATTTTATGAACTCTTGATAACGTGACCTTCGAACTTCGACACTGGTTTCGAGCTTCGACAGATATATCAGACATGCACAGCCGTTTCCCTCTATGATGGAACGGAGCCACGTCTGTTGCAGAGAGGTTTTCCTTCTTTAAAATACATATTCTTTGATTCTAACCTCCATGGTACCGTATACTAGGATTAAACCCATTTTGTTTTATACGAGAACAGGTACTTTCTTTAGTTCA